TATCAAAAGTTATAAGACTTGGGGAACTCTTAGAGAAATCAAATCGCTTGGTTAAAAATAAAAGCTTCAATGACTAACTACATGACTTGTATGTCTTCATTCATCAAATACCAATGGAGCTGCAGCTCTGTGCAGGGCAGTGCTACAGTACTGGGGACACAGCTGAGGACAACGTCCTGGTGCTTACATTCTAGTAAGGAAAACAAGTGCGTTTAGTTTCTTATGGCTGCTGCAACCAATTGTCACAAACAGGTGGCTTAAACAACAGAAATTATTCTCTCACAGTTCTGGAGACCAGAAATCCCAAATCCAGGTATCAGCAGAGCAGCTCTCCTTCTGGAGACTGGAGGGGAGAACCTGGTCCTTGCCTCTTCCAGCTACTGGTTGCTGTCAGCGTTCCTTGACTGTGGACACATCACTCCAACTTGTGCCTCTGTCACATTGCTGCCTCCTCTTCTGCCTCTGCTGTCTTCCTTTACCTCTTCCTAATAAGAACACTTGTGATGGCATTTAGGGTCCACCCAGATCATCTCATCTCAACAACCCTAATGCAATCATATCTGTAACCATCTAAGGTCATATTTACTTTTTTGCCACATATGATAATATTCACAAGTTCCATTGATAAGGACATGGACATAACCTTTAGGGGCCACCATTCAACCCACTACAATAGTCAATAAACACATAAATAAATTAAGGTGATTACAAGATGGCCTTAAGAAGAAAACAGCAAGGATAAGGAGTAAGGGAGTGACAGGGAATGCTATTTTCAGTAAGGGGGTTAGAAAGGGCCTCTTGAAAGAAGTGGCATTGGCGCAGAGACCTACTTGAAGTAAATGAGAGAAGTCTTTCAGGTAGAGGGGAGAGCAAATGCAAGGGCCCTGAGACTAGTCATGTCTGAAGAGGTGAGAGTGGCAAAGAAACCAGTGCTGTTAGAAGCATAATAGGAGGTGGGCCACAGATAGAATTTGGATTTTATTGTGAGTAAAAATGGAAGCCATGTGGGTTTAAGGTAGAGAAGTAATTGGTCTACTTGTATTACTGTGGCTGATGTGTGGAAGATAGACAATGAGGAGAGGGCAAGGTAGTGTGACCATTTGGGAAGGAACTGCAATAGCCCAGGCAGGAAAAAAATAGTGGCTAGGACTAGGTAGTAGCTATGGAAGTGATGACAAGTGATCCAATTTGAGACATATTTTGAAGGTTGAGTTAATCGGATTTGCTGACAAAGTGGCTATAGATGAAAGTAATAGAGGAGTCAAGGATGACATCAACATTTTTTGCCTATTTAACTGGAAGGATAATAGCCACAGCCAAGTGATATTTAGAAGATAGGGGAGAAGCAGGTTTGGGGATCAAGAATTAGTCATTCAAGTGGAGATACTCTGTAGTCAGTTGGCTATAGAAGTCTGGAGATAATGGCAAGACATATATCTGGGCACCAGTGGTAAATAGCTGGTATTTAAAATCACCCTGGAGGCCAGTTGAGTGGCTCAGTTGGTTAAGAGCGCGAGCTCTGAGCAACAGGCTTGCAGGTTTGATTCCAACATGGGCCAGTGAGCTGTGCCTGAGCTGAGCTGCCACTGAGCTGCCAACAGGTGGCAGGATGGCTCAGCTGGTGAGAGCATGTGCTCCTAACAACAAGGTTGCCGGTTCGACTCTCACATGGAATGGTGGGCTACACCCACCCGCAACTAAGGTTGAACAGGGCACCTTGAGCTGCCGATGGACTGCCAGATTGCTCAGTGGTTAGAAAAAACAGGAAAAAAAATCCTTGGTGAGCAGTAAAAAATATATAAATAAATAAATAATAATAAAAAAATAAAATCAGCATGGAGTAAGTGTACACAGGGAAGAGGACCAAGACTGAGCCTAAAGCAGCCCAAAATTAAGAAGTCAGGGGGATGTGGAGAAACCAGGAAAAAGGTCTGTGAAGTGAATTAAAGAAGTAAAACCATGAACGTTTGCCAACCTGGAAATCAAAATAAGAAAGTGATTCAAGGAAAGAGTAATCAATTGCGTCAAAAGCTGCTGATAACATAGATCAAGTAAGATGAGGATTGAGAATTTGCCGTTAAATTTATTAGTGGGGCAGTCATTATGGGTCTTGACAACAGTAATGTTGGTGGAGTTGTGGGTACAAAATACGTTTGGAGTAAGTTCAAAAGGGAATTGTTAAAAAGGAATTGTAGGTAAATACTTTAGACAATAGCAATGAGTTTTGCTCTTAAGTGGAGCAGAGAAATAGACTACTAGTTGAAGGAATTGTTTTCTAAAGATTGGAGATACTATTACATAATATCATGTTGATGGAAATGCTCCTATTGAGAGGCAAAAATTAATAATGCAGGTAAGAGAATGAATGGAGGGAAGTTCTCAAGTAAGTGAGAGGAACAGAGTCCAGTGCCTGAGTAGTCAACCAGCCTCAGGTAGGAGCAGGAACAGGGCAGGTCCTCCTCCTAACAAAAGGGAACTCAGATATCCGGTACATCTGCTAGTGTGAAGATGAGGATGAGCACGCTCTCTGATGGCTTTTATTTTCCCTATGCAATCAGAAGCAAGGTTGTCAGCTGAGAACGTGCAAGTTGGAGAAAAATCAAGTTTGAAGTATGGAACAATCCCCTCAGAGAGTGAATTGTCAAGGACAGCATTGAATTGTCAAGTAAATTTTCTATAACTGTACTACCCCGTAAAATTAAAATGCAAACCATATATGGAACTCCAAATTTCTAGTAGCCACATTAAAAGGTAAAAATAAGCAGGTAAAATTGACTTAAACTATATATTTTAACTCTACATATTCTAAATGTTATCATTTCAACATGTAATCAGTATAAAAATTATTGAGGTGTTTCACATTCTTGTTGTTCTTAGTACTAAGTTTTTAAAAGCTGGTGTGCATTTTATATTTTAAACACGTCTCAATTCAGATTAGCCATATTCAAGTACTCAGTAGCCACATGTGGCCGGTGGCTACCATACTGGACAATGAGGGTCTTGAAAATGAAGTAGCACTAATGGATAGCACAAGGGCCCCTTGAGATTGGGAGCCATGAACTGAAGTGAGGTTGGCATAGCTGTGTCTTATTCTCAAGCCACATTCAAAACTCATGTGCATTGAGTAGGCTCTCGTTTCGTTTCATTGCAGGTTTCCTTCACTCTGCTGTGCAGAAGCTTTTTAGTTTGATGAAGTTGCATTTGTTTATTTTTGTTTTTGTTTCCCTTGCTTAAGGGTCCATATCCAAACAGATATTACTCAGAGTAATGTCAAATAGTTTACTATGCATGTTTTCTTCTAGGGGTTTTATGGTTTTGGGTCTTACATTTAAGTCTTTAATCCATTTTGAGTTTATTTTTGTGTATGGTATAATAGAGTGGTCCAGTTTCATTTTTTTTTTGCATGTATCTGTCCAGTTTTCTCAACAACACTTGTTGAAGAGACTGCAGGTGTCCATGGATGGATGAATGAATAAAAAAGATATGGTATATACATACAATGAAATATTATGGAGCAATAAAAAATAATGAAATCTTGCCATTTGCAACAACATGGAGGGTATCAGGCTAAGTGAAATAAATCAGACAAAGACAAATACCATATGGTTTCACTTATATGTGGAACCTAAAAAAATACAAAACAAACAAACAAACAAAACAAAACAAAAACAGACCCATAGAAACAGAGGCCAAAGGAATGGTTACCAGAGGGAAGGGGTGAGGGGATGAGTGAAAAGGAGAAGGGGAGTATTGTCAATAATATTGTGATAAGTTTGCAAGGTGACAGATCATTGCCAGAATTTGTGGGGTGAACACATTGTAAGGTACAAAACTGTTGAATCACTACATGGTACACCTGAGACCAATATAACTAATATAATATTGTATACCAACTATACTTTTAAAAAAGGGAATTTAAAAATTAAAAAATAAATAAATACAGTCTCCTTCCTCAGTAAAACAAAACAAACTCATGTGCAGACATGGAGTAGGCAGAGTCGGTCTTGACCAGGAATGGAGCTTTGCCTGTAGCATTCCACCAAAGGAAGACAGGAGAAGGGAATTTGTGGCATGTACAACCAAATGTTATATAGATTGACCAGAGAAAGTAAGCCACAGAACTAAGAATTGGGGGGGATGGGGGGATGACAGGTGATGGGGGCAATGAAAGTTCTAGTAGGATCAAAGAACTTTTAGAACTGTAGCTGCTATACAATATACAAAGATGTCTAGAATAATCCCTGCCCTCAGCAAGCTGATCTTGATGGCAGGTATACCAATAATCATTGTATAGGATAAATTCCTGTGCAGTAGCACAAAATGTGTTTTAGGTGAGTTCAGAGGAAGAAGAGCCCATGTCCTGCTAGGATGATCCAGGAGGCTATATAAATGGGGTGGTGGGCAAATCAGGTCTTGAAAGATGAAGGACGTTTTAACTGCTATGGGGAACACATTGCAAAGTGAGGAGAAAGCACAAGCATGGATAAAAAAACTGTTTAATATTTCTTGGGGTAAGAGTAAAACGAAACCCTTACTATTAATATTTATTGGGAGAGCTATTGATCACCATGGAGAAGACAACCTACAAATAATGATAGGTCTTTAGAGAAGAGTCCTGGGATCATTTCTCTAGGAAAAGACTGTACTATAAAACACAGTGATACTCCTAGAATGCAAAGTTTTCTAGAAATAAGAAAACTAAAAGCCAAAGACTATTACTTTTCTCTTCCTTTGCAGCCCACCAGGCCCTTACACACACACACACACACACACACACACACACACACACACACACACACCTTTCATCTTTCATTTAGAATTCAGTCTCATATATTTAATTCTCCTCTAAGGAAAAAGTTAGTTACATCTAAAGAGAAGCAATATAATTACTTTTCATCCTCAAAGTCTAGAAGAAAATATGTGGAAGCAACTAGCATTAAATTATGTGGGATTATATGTGGGATTAAAAAGGCTTTGATTACTATTAACACTTTATTTTGCAGATATACTATCACCATACAGACCCAGTTTATAATCCCCTTAGAAAACAAGCTGCACATATACATCATATTCTTTTTTTTCCTAAATCTGGTGTCGTTTATATTAAAATGTTAAGTAAAAGGTAGCATTTCAATTTACTTCGGTTCTCAACACAGTCATCATTAAACAACAGGGGATTCAGTTTTTCCTAAGCCAGTGCAGACTATTGTTGCAAAAAACGTTGCCCTTTTTTTTCCTTGCTCTAAATGTTTAGGGAAACCTGCCAGTATATCCACTCCCTCCTTTTCTTTCACAAGAATTTCTTACTTCAACTGGAGTATTTAGAAACAGTGAGAAGAGCTAGATGTTTCCACATAACTTTAATAACACTGTACTTTGTATTTATATATCATATATCCTTGGTACTTCATAGTTCATTATCATTTTAAATTTATAAATCAATATATGAAAGCACAAGGCTTAGAAGCAGCTCTTCTCCTGCCCAACAATAAGTTACTAATGCCAGGATTGGAACTCATAATTACTGACACATGTGGTCCTACAACAGCGAAAGATCATTCTCATAACAAAAAATGAAGTGCTCAGTAAGTAGAACATATCTATTATCAAATATCCCATTTATTCAAGATAATTTTAAGAACCCTGGAGCTTTAATCGTATAAATAACCATATTATACCTCATAGGCCTACATTACTGTGAATAGATTCATGAATCATTCAATTAAAACTATACTTAATATGAATAATAAATATATATACACAGATAGACTCCAATCAGTTCCACAAAGTGGAATACATTTCAATCAAAAAGTCAGCAAATATATCAACATATTTAAAAATGTGAAGTACTGTTTTAAAATGTTTTCACCAACATGCTGTAATTCTGAAGGTTGCAGATGCCACTGGTCAGACTGCTATATATGTTAACAAGTGCCTCCTTAGTGAGAATAAAAACACCCATTGTCTGCTGATTTAATTAGGTAGGTAAGGTCCCCGGTTCTCTTAGCAGTGCTAAGCTGTGGTTTTGATTCCAGTGTCTTGAAAACTCATATGTCTGGGAGATTCTGTAAGATCTGTCTCAGGGAAGCACAGGCTACCACATGAGCATCGGAAGGAAGGTTAGCAAGTGACTGAATCAGCTTCTTGACTATTGTCTTCAAACACTGGTGGGCAGCATTCAAATCTCTGTCAAACTGCTGTCCTTCAATTTGTAGAGCCAAATGACTGCAGATGTTTCTAAACTCAACGCTATCCTGAAATGAACAGCAAACACAAACAAGCAATTAGGTTATGGGGAGGGGGGTATTGTGGTTATGGGAGGTATTTGTTGTGCTTTGTGTACCCAGCTTCCATTCCCATCTCTTCTGATGAAAGCACTCTGATTTTTCTCTCAGAGAAAAATTCCCCTCCATTCTCAGCCTATGTGGTTTGACCAAAGCTGACCCCACTTCACAAGGGACCAAGACAATTAGAGCATATCACCCCTCCACCACTTGGATTGGTAAGGGACGGACAGGTGTTGCCCAATGCAGGCCAATAAGCCACCGTTTCAGAATATTCGCTAGGCTGGGAAAGAGAAGCTCTCTTTAACTGGGGATGTTGGAAAACATCTTGTCACTGTAAGGGAGAATCCAAATGAGAATAAAGCCAACACAGAAAAAAAAAAGTAGACTCAAGAGATTAAAAGAGACTGATTCTAATAACATTTTCTAAGCATGTCAACCTAGCTGTAAATACAATAAACCCCAGGATATTTTGGCTACCTGAGTCAATAAATATCCCTTTTTACTTAAGCCATTTGGAGCTGAGTTTCTGTTATTTGTTCCTAAAAGAGCTTAGACAAATACACAAATGGCCTCTGTTCCTATTATTCCATACTCACTGTCTTCAAGATTCCAATATAGGATGTGGTATTTAATGAACATAGTCTCAAGAAATTTCCAATGCAAATTTAGAAAGAATAGTTTCCAGGAAGTTTTAAAAAGTGAAGTAATTAAACTGATTTTTAATCCCCAAATGTTTCACATTCTAAAACCCATTGCATGTAAATGGTACACCAAAATTACTTCATATCATACGATTTATTTTTAAATACATGGACATGACTTCCCACAGACGTCTGGTTCTGGCAAAATGGCACACTTCATTTCTCCAAAACCTACTGAATTCTAAATAAAATGGAACAAACATCCTTTCTGAGCTTGCAAGAAAGTAATGGAAATCCCCAAGGGCCAGTAATAAAGGAAAAATAGATTACTTTAGTTGCCCGCCAATACCCATCAAGAAAAGATGGTTTTGAGCTGGTTTTGGGATGGAGGGTAAAGTTGCCCCAAGGATGTGTAACTGTGGACCTGTACTACATGGTCGTTTAAGCTTGGAGTTGCCTCTACACCACATACATGTTCTGGGAACACTCATGTTAAGAAATTAACTTAAAAATTGGAATTGGGCTGAAATATTCATAGCCACATGGAAAAAGCAAACAAACACCTATTCCATGGAACATGTCCACAGTCGATGCCCCACAGTAGTATTTCCATAATGCTCTGTCAAAAACAAACTCAGAAAATGAAATTTAAAATACAATTCACCATGATACAGCAGATACAGGCAGACCAGGATTAAAGTCCAAGAATTTCAGATAGAAACTATAAAATATATTTAAAATGATTAAAGATATAAAAGAAGGAATCAAAAATGTTTTTTAAGAAAACTCAGCCTTGAAAAAGAACCAAATGCAACTATCATGACAAATTAAATACTCAATGGACAGTTTAAAAACCCAAATAAATACCTCTGAAGTGCGGATTAGTAAACTGAATGATAAATATGGAAAAATTGCCCAGAATACATAATAAAAAGTTAAAGACATAGGAAATATGAATGAGGGGTTAAGCAACATTAAAGACAGAATGACAAAGTCCAACAAATACATTTCTAGGAGAGACAAGAAAGAGAATGGGGGAGAGACAATATTCTAAGAGAATAATGGATAAGAATTATCCAAACTTAATCCAAAACATGAATCCCTAGATTCAAGAAGCAAAATAAGCCTTGAGCAGAATAAGTTAAATGAGATCTAAATCTAAATTCATTGAGGCAAAACTACTCTTAAAAGTAACCAAAGAAAAGAAGACAACTGGGTTTCAAGGGATGACAAGACAAACAGCGAACTTCTAAGAAACCACGACCATTGAAGACAGAAAATAATGGAATAATAGCCTCAAACAACAGTCAACCTAAAATTTTTTAATTCTAGGGGGTATGGTAGAAGAAGGTAAAGGGGATCAAATATATCGTGATGGAAGAAAAACTGACTCTGGGTGTTGGACACATAATGCAATATATATAGACGATGTACTATAGAAGTGTACATTTGAAACCTATGTAGTTTTGTTGACCATTGTCACCCCAATAAATTTTAATTAAAAAAACTAAGTAAACTATAAAGGCAAAATATATATACTTTCATTCAAAAAGACAAAGATATAATTCAGAAAGGAAATTCAGTGCAGAAAGAATGAGATGCAAGAAGCAACAGTGAACAAAGAAACTAAAAAATACGGTATAAATCTAAATAATTAATTGTTCAAAATAAAAATTATAACAACTAAGTTGGGGCTTACAAAAGCAAGATGGTTCTAAAATGCTGAACAGAAGTAACACGTAGGATGGAGAGATATTCTAAGGCATTGCATGTACTCGAGAGAAAGTTGTCAAAATTGATCAATTTCAGACTTGTTAAGTATGCACTTGAGAAATGTAAGGGTTATCATTAGAGAAATAATGCATAAAACTTCAAAATCAGCAGGGAGAAAGGTATACATATTACAACTTTGTTGATCTTATCTATAAAAGGTAAAAAATGAAGAAATATGCAAACATAAACCAAGGTAAATAGAAAGCACCAATAAGACACTTGTTGAAATATAGCAGTTACCAGATTGGATTTTAAACATCTCTATGTCATTTAAAAACAACACATTTAAAACTAAAAATACCTAACTACTGAAAGTAAATGGATGCTAACATATATGTCAAGCAAAGATAAGTAAAAATAAAGTCAGAAAAATCATTACTGGGGATAAAATAAACTACAATTAATAAAAAGAGCTATTTCACCAAGAAGATATAACAATTTTGTAGTTGTGTGTGCCTAATATGATAACCTCAACTTATATTCAATCCACAAACATAAAGACATTTTAACCCAATTTTCTCAGAAACTGATAAATCAAACAACAAAACAATCAGCCTGGAGAGAAAAGATTAACACTCTAATCACAATCTTGGTCAATAGCGATAAGCAAATACATTCTCAAAGAAATGGGATATTTATAAAAGCTGACTATATAATATGCACAAAGCAAATCTTAATAACTATCAAAGTCTATATCATACAAATCACAATGTAAATAAATGAAAAATCAACATAGATAACCTGCCCAAAACATGTACTTGTATGACTTAAAAATCCACTTGTAAATAATTCATGGGTCAGTGAAAAAAAATGGAAATTTTAAAATACTTTATACTGAACAATTATGGAAATACTATATCACACATTTGTGGGATATAGTGACAATGAGAAATGAATAGGCTTAAATGTTTACATAAGTAAAGAATAATCATTGAAAAACCATGGGTTAAGAATTTAACTCAATAATTTAGGAATAGAAAAATGGGCAATCCAAAATAAAACGAAAGGAGGAACTATGAACCAAACTTTGATGAAGAACTAGAGTTTTCTTCCTAATTCTGTAAAAGAAAAAAAAAGCTATTCTACTCCCTAATAAAAACTCTGTCACTTGAATAAGAAAAACCTAGGTTTCCAGCAAAGTGTTTATTACAGAACTTCTTCCAAGAAACAAAACAAACATCCATTGATTCAATTCAGCAAACAATGGCAGTGGGACCCCAGCATGAGTTAGGTGCTGGTATGAAAAGATAAACATGCTGCAGTCTTTTAGCCAAGGACTCACAGGCTACCATGCTTCTTGGTTTTTCATTTCTCTTTAAAGCATTCTTGCTTCCCTGCCTTTGTGTGCTGCTCATTTTTGCTCAGAAGGTATCAAGGGGCTACTTAGATAATCTTGCTCATAGTTTATGGGGCAGCCTATATTGCTGGAGCATGTTGCTTGGGAATGGGAAAGTTGGGGGTGGGGTGTGACTCTGGACTACTTCTCATAGATCCACACCAAGGGAATTTATCCACTTGCTTTATAGAATCAATACAACTCTAAGTACCAAGTGGAAGGATGAAAGACAACATGCAAAGGAAAATTTTAAATAGAAGGAGCCACTGAAATGTGTGCTGACGTGTGCCTAGCAGCCAGTCTGCAAAGGCATTCAGCACCCAAAAAAGATTAAAATGCTTTTAAAAATATATTTGTGGGCCTAAAATCTAAAGTCAATTTCACATTTACTGTGAAGAATCAAAGAAGGCATTGTTTGGGGAAACTATACATATAATAATTCCACTGCTGGGTTGTACTGGTCCCTGATAGGGTGGATAAACTTCAGATCTCTGGCAAGCTTTGCAAAGTCTCTTTATTTTACTATTTTAGTACAATATTTCCTTTGATCCTTTTTCAAATATATTAACGGTCAAAGAAAACAAATTAATAGGAATATGTTTCCACGGGGCTCTTAAGCCAGGGAAGGGAAAAATAAAACAGGTGGTTGCTTCTCTTCCTTTCTGGAAGGTCTGAAGGCCAACTATGAATCCAATCACCATGGCCTCCAACCAAACCTCTATTGATTCTGCTGTGTAAGGTGGGGCCACAAATCGCAGTGCGGAGGCAACAGCATATTCAATGGCTCATGAGCTTTGGGTAGAAATTCACATGATCAGTATTGGTGATGATTTTGCTTACATGGTTTCCATTCAATGACAGAGCATATCCTCTCTGTAGCTTTCATTTAGCAAGTCCCAGATGCTTCCAGAAATGATGTAATATCCTACACGGGGCTTTGAGAGCTTTGCCAGAATTAAAACACCGGCTGAGCAATCTAAAAGCAGGTTTTGGAAACGCTGAAGTCTTATGTAATTTCAGACTTTGGATAAGAAATGTATTGATCGCTACAGTGGTTCAAATTGATGGCCAGCATTTACATTTTGAAGTGAGATAGTGACTCAACTAATTTAGTGGGATAATAGCCTCAGACTGCTGAATTCAGTTAATGAACCCGTTAAATATATTTCAAACATGTAACAAGTCTCCACTACCCTTACTGATTACACTAGATAAAA